ATTCTCCTGCCTCAACCTCCCGAGTAGCTGGGACTACAGGCATGTGCCACCACGCCCAGCTAATTTTTGTATGTTTTTTAGTAGACACGGGGTTTCACCATGTTGACCAGGATGGTCTCGATCTCTTGACCTCGTGATCCACCTGCCTCGGCCTCCCAAAGTGCTGGGATTTTAGGCGTGAGCCACCGCGCCCGGCCTGCATGCCTTTTAAAACCTGAACACATACACACAATTTCAGGGGTTGGGAGAAGAGGAAGAAAGCTCTCCCGAACCAACAGCCATGGATATGAATGCTCCATCTCTGTGTGTTTGGTTTCTATTTTCAGGCTCAGAGAAGAATGGAAGCAGAAGCTGGAAACAAAGCTGAGGCTGCGGAACAATCCAGAGGACGCGGAAAAGCGAACAAACGTTGGTTGAGAGCTTCCAGCTTCATTGACACAAGAAGACGCAAAATGCTGAGGTCACTTTGCTAGAAGTCAATGCAAATCCCTGGGTCCCTCTGCTATACCGGTCAGATCTCACACTATTGTTTCCCTACCTGGGAGAGGATTTGCTCGTAAACCCTTTCCCAGAGCTTATGGCAGTTATTGGCCAAGTCAGTCCTCTGTGCATAGGCGCCCGGTTATTATCGCAAATGTCTCTAAAGATAGCTTATTTAACAGCAAAGTTCTGTGCAGCATTCCTTATTTCTACACAATTGTCTTCTAATTTTGAAATCCAAATATTTTCAACTCTAAACACACCAAGGGGAGTCCTCGACCTTCAAGGTCAAACTTTAAACACTGCACAGTGGTATTGCCCCGCCGTTTCACCTAGGAAACAGTTTTATATAATTCTCTTTTTCTTTTTAAGACAAGAGAAATGCACCTATCCACAGGAATTTAAAAAAAAATTGTGAATAGTCAAAGTACAGTTTGAAAATAAATTGATCTAATTTTTTTCTTCATATAAATGTAATTGGCTTTTTCAAAAATACATTTGCTAAGGCTAATATCAGGATAATTTTAATAAAACTTGGTCGTCCTGTCATCACTATGCACATGCCTTTGTTTTATGGCTTTATTTTAGATCTCTTCATGTTTGCACTGCTTGGCTCTCTGCTAACCCAGTCAAAGCACATCTGGCCACTCCACAGTGTTCACCACAGATTCTGGATGTTGAAATGGTACAGTCACTCGCTTGCCATCTCTCAAGTTCAGAAGCACCAGGGCTGGATGCTCCTGAGAGTGCAAACTGTAACTGGGCCCAAGGCAATCACTTTAACCAAGGAAAGGGAGAAGAGATGCAATGATGTGAAGTCCTGGGTACCTGCTGGCTATAAGCAGCACCTGCCAGGCCTTGTGTACTACACACAGAGGCAACGCTTATGGCAGACACACCTGACAGCAACAAGTTAAGCAAATACACTGGGAATGACCTTATCATCCCAATTGATAATTATCTAAGAAAAATGTGTGTTCGGAATCCAGACAAGCTAAGGAACCTGGGAGTGGCCAACCTGGAGTTTCATGCGGTAACCGTAACGGACATCTGAACCCCCAGCCATCCTTTGGAACACAGTTGTACAGGGGATCAAAGCCTTCTGCTTTGGGTTAGATGGCGGTTGCTAAGTGGAGGGTGCTAACTGAAAACGCTGTATAAACCGCATGCTTTTTACAGAGATTAGTGGTTCTTTTCCCCAGCCTGCTGCCACTGGACCATCCCTGAATGTAAGTTCCCCCAATAAACCGTACAGCTCACTCGCTGTCTCTGAGTGTCTTCTTTGTCTTCTCAGACGTGGTACCATTCCACTGGAGTCAATAGGAGTCTGGCTTGACATAACATTATCAGGAGATGCAGTCAGGCTGGCCAATTCTGCCAGTGGTGAGTGTGGTGTTCCAGTCTTCTAAATGCCCTAATACAGCATTAAGCGCTTCCATCCACATCCCCAGGGAACCCATTAGGCTTCCTCAGGGCAATAACAATCTCCAGGAGGAAAGCAGGGCTGGAGGAGTATTTCCCCAGGTTCCACACTTAATATGATTCAAGGAACAGGGCTCAGGTCCCTCTCTCCCTCTATGGTCTCTTATTCAATCTTGGATTCAATTCAACAAATAAATTACAAATTAGAGCTGGGGAAATTTGAGAATGTTTAGATGGAGAAGGAATTTTTGTTGGGTGTAGGAGGAATGTAGAAATTAAACAGAGGTCGAAGAAAAGTCGTGGCTTGCGGGGCTGAGAGGCTCTCAGAAGCAAAGGCCTGCCATGGCAAACTGCAAATGCTATCATTGGGATCGAAATGCAGTAGAGTGAGGTGGGAAATATGGGTGAAGATTCCTTGTGCATTTACCCCTTCACCACAAGCCAGACACTGTGCTAGACAACTGGAATCCGGCAGAAAAAAACAGAGATGCTAGCTCTGGAAGCTGCAGTCTAGGGAAGAAGCTGCTGGGAGACACAGCAGGCCATGGTGCCCACGCCCTGTGGGGACACACTCTGGCCTAGGGAAGATCATATACACATGATCCAGGAGCAGTGAGAATACAGGGCTGGCAGGTCCTGGGTACCTTAAGGAAATACATTCAGCAAAGTTACAGTGGGAGTGTGGAGACGGCGCAGCACGCAGGGCCTTACTGGCTGATGGATTTGAGGCACAGGGAGCCCCTGAAGGGTATTAGCAAGGAGATTGCTGGAGCATTGCCCAGCTACAGGAGGCGAGAGGACACAGGTGGGAAGCCAGCCACCAGCTCCTGCAGATGGCTCTGGAGAGCCCTTGGTGCCCTGGAGGGAGGGATCAGGAAGGTAAGGGGTAGACAAGGAGGAGGACCATCTTGGAGGGAAGTGCACAGCTCCCTGAGGGATGGGGTGCGGAGGGAGGAGGGTGTCATGGGGTTAGAAGTGGCAGAGGTTCTTGGAGGCTGTGAAAAGGGAGGAAATGTGAAGGAAAATTATGATGAGAGAATAGAGGCAAGTCAGAAGCATGATGAGTGAGAGGGCCCTGGAGACATGCAAATAGGGATGGGCCAAGGAGCATGGAGGAAAATTCTATTCCCAGGTCACTGCCCAGAACTCTAGAACACTACGTCCTCAGGGCACTGCCTAGATAGTACAGAAGTGGGTATCTCAGGGCCTGACTGACCTTCTAGATGGAGGATAGAGACCTGGTAGAAATCTCGGCTGCTTCCATGCCACTATCCAAGGCAAATATATGAATCCATCAGAGTCAGCCTCAGAGACAGTGACAAACCCATGACCAAGGAGGTAGTGAACAGAAGAGGTTTTGGATTTGGAAAGCCGGTTTTCTTGGGAAAGATTTTATTATAGGTATGCTGACAGGTGAAACAGTTTATGGCCATTCTTGCTCTGAGTATTAAAAAGGGTATCCTGCTTTTTGAAACACCCCAGCATCGCTGACTTCTCAGAGCTCCGTATCTGCCCCAATGCCCGAATCTGTATTGAACAGATTTTTATTGATTGGTATGTTTTGGTTACAAATGTTTTAGGTGCTTTTCTGTAAAGCACACAAATACAAATAGAATGAAATTACTTGATTAGGACTGATGCATAAAGTGAAAGTTTCATACTCACTGATACGGATGAAACTCGCCATTTTTAAAGTTCCAGTGGCTCTGTTCTAGGAAAGCATGTTTCTGTGGAACCTGGTAGATGCATAACATAGGATTGGTTTGTTCACAGTCTCAGAATAGCCTTGGAGGATGACTCAGGCCTTGACACATTGCTCTCAGGCTGCTCTGCACTGCTGGCTCGGTGACCTCCCAGAGCTCTGAATACTAGTTGCTGGTCCTTGGAAACCTTGGCTCCCCACAGATGAGCAGACACCACTTCCTCTTCTCTAAACTATGGAAGGGTCACCACCTAGTGGGTATGGAAGCCAGCTTGGAGAGAACCTGAGAGACGCAATGGGAGCAGCTGTGACGGGAAGTTTGCAACTGTACAGTCACAGTTCCTGTGAGGCCAGGAAGACCTGGGACCCCCTTGGGCATCTCAGAGGCTGAGTATGAGGGCGGAAGTCTCGACCGCCTTGGCAGCGGAACAGCTGTGGGGACAGGAACGACACTCATATGTTACGAGACACAAAATTATCTGTTGGGTGCATGAATGGAGGGTTTGCTTGTAGCACAAGCACATAGTCTTAGAAGAAGCTCCTAAATAACTCCATTCAAAGCAGGGCTGAGCAGACTGAATAGAACAGCTCGAGGCTTATTCCCTCCCGCATTTAGCAGGGGGCTGGCTTAGCTTTCTGAATTGGTCAACACACAACACAGGGAGACTAGCTGCTAAGCTTCAGAGGCTTCTCTCCTCACAAGGCCACTTCCTGAGCAGGAAGCTTCCAGTGTTTCACAATTGTCCAAACGTTTCCATTTGGCCTATGGGGAGAAGGGCTTTTCAGCCATGGTGCTTCTGGAACCTTTCCACCCTGCACCCAGCACATCTGTGCCAGCCCAAGCCCAACTCCGGGCTGAGCTCTGCTGCGTCTCTGCCTGCAGTTTCCCCGCAACAAACATAGTTCTGCTTTCTATGGAGCGGTGGCTTTCGTGGTGGGTGTCCCATGACCCCGTTCTCAACAGCAGCTTCATTCAGGCCGCTCCAGACCCAGAAGGCTGTCTTGGAGGACAGCTCCCAAGTCTCCACGGAACTTGAGGCAAGAAGAGGGAAAGACACAGAAAAGGCAGAGAACAAAACTGAGGAAAGTGACACCCTCAGAGGGAGAGAGAATACAGCTTTCTGGAAAGACTCTTGCACGGGGTTTAGAAAAAATCATTCTTGATCATGCTGTTTCTGCCAGGGGCCAGTCAGATAAAAAACAAAAAAGCAAAAAAA